TTTGTAGATTTTTCTGAAGCCGTTTGGTTAGTCGTTTGATTTTTTGAAGGATTTTTGATTTTTTGGAGGTTAGGCTTGCAATCTGTGATTTCTACGTCACTCCAGTATTTTTCTGGTTCAAATCTCCTCAGAAGGGTATGAATTAACAAATTATACCATGCCCAGACTGATTTGTTAGTGTTGCTTGGATTTGTGAGGTTTTTTGCTCCTCTAGGACTGTCAGCACCCCTATTTGACACTGTTTAAGTGTCAAGTGCACTGTTACTAAGGGAGCCTTGTTTCGCCTTTGGTTTGTGTCTTTGCAATCTTCTTACTCCATTTTGGTACAGTTAGTGATATTTTTCAATAGTGGGCTGCTTTTTTGGCAGAGTTTTTTCAGTGAGTATTTGTTATTTGGTGTTGCTTCTCTTGGGTAAACATGTCCGACAGAAGTGCGATGTCCACTAATGTTGGGGGAAGTGTTGGAGGAAGTGGGGTGAGCCATTTGGGCGCTTTGACAAATAACCCTCATCTCCAAATTAGCCCGAAAAAATTAGATGGGGGCGACTACTTGGCATGGTTAACGGCATATTTATTATCGGTCCAAGCGATATCTTTAGATGGGTACTTGACTGGAGAGATTAAGAAACCAAGTGAGTCTGATCCTTCCTTAAAGGAGTGGAAATCTGAGAATGCTTTGATTATGTCTTGGTTGCTCAATTCATTACAACCATCCATTAGTTGTGGTTTTTTGTCACTTGATACGACACATAAGATTTGGATTATTGCTTCTTATACGTATTCTCAACTGGACAATGACGCTAAGGCATATGATCTGCGAAAGAAAGTCTCGGAGACTAATTAGAAGGATAAGACACTTGCAATTTATTATGCAGAGTCGACCATTTTATGGCAGGAGCTTGACTACTATCAGAATTTTCAGGCAGATTGTACTAATGATATAGTCAAATTTCAGTAGATGGTGAAAAAAGAACAAGTCTATGACTTTCTTGTGGGCCTCAATATTAAGCTTGATCAGATTGCGGTTCAGATTTTGGGTCATACTTCATTTCCCACTTTACGGGAAGCTTAAGAGAGTTAGAGGATTGCTATGGTTTATGTTCCTCCTCAGGAACAATCTACTTTAGGTGTTATCCCTCAATGTGACTTAGGTTCAGTCTTACCCAAGTCTAATGAGACAAGGGATACTGATTCTAAGGATACCTTAAAGTGTGATTATTGTCGGAAGACCAGGCATACTAGAGAGTTTTGTTGGAAGCTAACTAAACGTCCTACACGTGGTTGAGGTGGTGGCCGACGGAGTACTGTGTGATCCCATGCACACATAACTGACTCGTTAGATGTTTCATCTCAGTCAGCTCCTTCTAATTTTTCTCAAGATGAGATACAGACTCTTAGACGTCTGATGGCTCGAATTGATGTCTCCACTACAACTTTTCCCCAGCCTCTTCTTCCAATTTTGCCCACACCGGTATATATGCTAGTGCATTTACTACATCATCTTCATGTTCTCCTTGGATAATAGATTATGGAGCTACGGATCACATGACTGGCTCTTCTAGCCTTTTTTTCTTCGTATTCTACATGTTCTAGTAGGGATAAAGTTAAAGTAGTTGATAGATCCTTATCTTCTATTTCTAGGAGAGGTTCAATTATTGCACCCAAGGGATCTTCTAGTCCTTCTTACTAAACCCGACCCTATTCACCGTGTCAACCGTGCAACTTTGCCAGGTCATCAACCCAACTTCCCCGAGCCCACTCGTTATCCACCAAGTGTGGTATCGACGACAATCATGCACACACACCCACATGATGCGATGTCTACGTATATATGCAATGTGATGTACAATTGCAACAACAATATTATGTCCTATATGCTATGAACGCCATATGAACTATTTCAACACATTTCATGTCAAATTATATCCAAAACATATAATTTTCATAATCCATCAATTGTCAATATATCATGAGCATACATCAACATTTCATTAACGTAATTTTCAAGCATGTTATCACATAATCTTGCAATAAACAAACTAAATTCATCAAGGCATAAAATAATCACATAACATGTCCATAATTCACACTTTTCGAAGAAATTACATACTTAGCAATGTCTAATTATCAATTCACCCTAAAATTTAAATTATTCATCTCCAATACTCAATTCCATCAATTTTAGAACAATAGGCAAGTGATTTATAATTCTCTCAACCTACCCATTTCATATTACCATCTTAGGTTGAAAATAAGCCTAATTAGGATAAAATCCTACCTCTTGAAGCGTAAACCCACTTGGTAGAAGCCTTCAAGAATCCCAATCAAGCCCAAACCCTTGACTTCTTCAAGTCCCATTTTTGGAGCTTTAGTGAAATCTTCAATTTTTGGTATGGTCTTGTAGTCCACATCAAGGAGAACAACTTTTGTTCTTGGCCCGGGGTGATTCGACCCACGTTTGGCCCTTGATCGCAAGAGAAAAACTTGAGAAAACCCTTATTCTTCTCTCTTCTTCTCTCTTTTCTAACATAAAGAACTAGCAGAACAATGTGAAGAAATCAGATTTTCTGTCCTATTTGTACTCTTTAATTGCTTGGCCCACAACACGCCACACGTCCTCTTTTTTTTGAATCCGTTTTCGCCCCAAAACGATTAAATGTCGCCCTGATTCAAGTTCAAAATATTTTTATTTTAACTAGCTTTAAATTTTGATCCCAATTTTAAAATTTTATTCCTGAGTTCATTTACGAAGTCACCTAACACGCGATCGTCTCGTAAAACGTAAAATTTTAAACTATCTCGAAATTCGACGAAAATTGATAAAATAACTAGATTTCACGAGACGAATCTAACGGTAAGGTCCATTTCGTCATCCGAGTTCTAGAAAAAATCTGGGTGTTTAAACTGTACCATGGTGGCAAATTACCCTTTTGCCTTTCTTTATAAAAAGTTCAAATTGACCCGGATTTTACAAATTGCACAATGAAGGGCCCTTTGGCAGGGACAAGACATATAACTTGATTGGAGCCAGTTACTTTTGGCCAAAACTTAAGCGGGATGTCAATAGACTAGTTGAACATTGTCATTCTTGTCAAGTTTCAAAGGGAAAAGCTACCAATGTTGGTTTATATACTCCTTTGCCAATTTCAAGTGCTCCATGGACTGATGTTAGCATAGATTTTGTGCTTGGACTTCCCCGAACACAAAGAGGTATGGATTATGTTCAAGTGGTTGTCGATAGATTTTCTAAAATGGCACATTTCATTCCATGTAGGAAGACTATGGATGCTTCTCAAATCGCTAATTTATACTTGAAGGAGATTGTTCGTTTGCATAGTGTGCCGAAGTCCATTACTTCTGATCGAGATAGAAAGTTTATTAGCCACTTTTAGAGGAGAACTTTATGGAAGAAATTGGGATCTGAATTAAATTTCAGTACGGAAAATCAACCTCAAACAGATAGACAAACCAAGATTGTCAACAGGAGCTTAGGAAATCTGATTCGCAGCCATATTAGAAATAATCTTAAGCAATGGGATCAGGCTCTCTCTCATGCAGCATTGGCTTTTAATTGGTCCAAGAATCGCACGCAAAGATGAGTCCTTTGATATTGTGTCTGGACGCAATCCAAATAATGTCTTGTATTTGATTCCACTTCCTTTAACAAGTTGGGTGAGTTCTAAATCTGAAAGATTTGATAGAAAATATTAAGCAAATTCATAAAAAGGTGCAGCAGCAAATTCTAAAGAGCAATCAAAAGGACAAGGAACATGTTGATAAGGGTAGGAGATGAGTGATCTTTGATGTTGGAAATTATGTGTGGGTCGTATTGACCAAAGATCGGTATCCAATAGGCGAATATAACATGTTGAGTGCAAGGAAGATTGGACCATGTGAAATCCTTGAAAAGATCAAGGATAATGCATACAGGTTGAAGCTTCCTAGCCATATCAAGACCTCTAATGTGTTTAATGTTCGTCACTTGATGTCATTTCATGGAGACTCTTCCAGCGAGGAGGATGCTAACTCAAGGTTGAGATTTCTCTCACCTAGAGGGACTGATGCAGAGCATATAGGAGAAGATTTCTTTCGAACCATTGAACATCCAAAGAAGACCAAGCCTAAAACACCTTAATGGTGGCAGCCTCCTGTGATCATTCCACAAGTTGTTTATGTTTTTCTTGAATCATTTATTTTAGTCTAAATTCTATTTTCAATATGTTTTCATGTTCTACATAGTGTTTCTTTTGATTATCTATCATATTTAGGGGTAGTTTGGTCGTTAAGGTTTTATTTTAAAAGTCAGTCATGTGACTGTTTTGGGTTGCTTGGTCATTTTAATGTCTCTATTTCTGCTGGACAGAATTGGAGCCCTTAGATTAGCTCTAATTAAAGGGCTGAGATTGACTATTTTATTAGGGTAACCCTAGGGACTTATAAAAGGGTTGTTCCACACAGTATTCAACAGCTTTTGGAATAATATTAACGTATTTTCTGCTTTCTACAGCAGCCAGCCTTCTCTCCCTCTCTTTGGGATTGAGTGTGGGTGCTTAAGCTAGTTTTTTAGCTTGATCTAACTTTTTGACTCTCCTTCTTATTAGATTTTTCTGTTCTTCATAAGCTGATTGCAATAAATTGTTTCCCTAAAAAAGGCAAAAGAAGAAAAAGAGCTTTATCACACAAAATTATGCAGAAAAGTAAAGAAGAAATGTTAAATGAGATGATATTTTCCCAATTCAGTAGGCAAAAGTGAACAAAACTAAAAAAGTCTGGACAGGGCCATTTTTTTTTTTTTTTTGAGTGATAAGAAGCATGTGCACCCACGTCTGAACCAGGACCTAAACCATGCAACTTCCACTTTGTTGGTGGTAAGTCATGCAACATTTCCTCAATCAAAGAAACCATGTTCCTTTACGTGTGTGCTTCCTAAAATTTATACTATAAGCTTATGATTTAAGCTTGACCACTAATAGCTTTAACATCCTGCCATAATGTTAAGATCAATTTCTAAGCAGTAATAGGACTACAAAGCAAAAATGCCACAAATGCAAAGTAAAGCTTTCTACCACATTAAGCCCCAAAACATGTGATTTAAGTGCTTCCTCATCAATTGCTTCCCAGCTCTCAGGAGGTGCTTCTGCCAGCATTGTTTTTGCAGTCTCAGTGAGGTCGAGATACACTTCATCAATCGAAGCCCGCTCACATTGACAATTCCTTGCAAGAATGGAAACCACCTGCCAGTTTTCCAAAAATACTTACAAGATGTAACAAGCGTAAAACTTAAAAGCATCAAAGAAGGATTTTGACTTTCTTAAACCTCTGAACCCGCATTTCGATATATGCTCAAGTCAGCTTTACCCCGAGCCACTGGGACCTGGACAAGCTGAATTTGGGGACAAACTTGCTTTGCCTCATCACCTCGCATTGAACTTATTACCCAAAATGGATCTGAATAGTCAGCAATACTACAGCAATACATAAAAGGTACTAGGAAATTATGACCACATTCTACTTACCGCTTCACTCCGTATTTACGAGCCTCATAACTGACAGCAATCAGACCACCACCTTTCCAGGAGTTGTACTGCACCACAGCAGTTGGCTGACCCTTTAAATTAGGCTGTTTCCGTTGCTCCACTATAAAGACAAAACAAATACCAGATAGATGAAAATTACAACGCCATGACATAGTGAACATACAGATGTTCGAATAAAAAACATGCATTCAATACAAACAATTGTACAAGAATGGAAATTAATAAGCTTATGAGTATTAGTGATTTCCTGAGTCATTATTCACTAATATACAAAAATAAATCTTTAAAAAAAAAAGTGGAGATAAACCAGTGTTATACTGCTAGAGCTGTACTAAAAAAAATTGCAATCTAGAATTCACATGGGCTTGCTTCATCATAAACACTTGATCCAAAGAATATTTTTTTTAACCTGTGTTTCATGCTTTGCAAGAACCACAATGAGAAAATTATATCTGCTCCTACGCTACCACAACCACCAAAAAATGAACAAAACAAAATAGAGACATAGAAATCCTTAAACTAAACTCTGGTGTACCCAATATTCAGCCCCCTAAGCAAATAATTCTGGCAAAAGATATATCACGTAAATAAGATAGGGAGGACTTAAAAAAAAAAAAAATCGAAGCACGAAAGACAAATAATTTCCTTCATGACTGAAGTCAATATACTAGCTACACAAACTTTGACATCCTAAAGACAACTCAATTTAGTTCAGTGTCTCTGTGTGTCCCCTGATGTACATCCTAAAGAACTATGCAAGGACTCCTACATAAATTTTAATCACTTTAAAAGTTCCCTTAAGCTCAAATGAATTAAACGTGCATTTTTAATAGCCTGCACTGTTCAGAAGCATCATTCTTGATGTTAGATAATTATCTACTGAGCATCCATCTAGACAATGCAAGAAAGAAATCCCGATATCAGCTCTTCAGAAAATCTCTTGAAGATTCTCAATACAACTCCATAGAGAACATGAATATTTGGAGGCATCCTTTATATCAAAACCACTCAAGCCCTTAACTAATGGAAATTGATATTGCACAATATTCGATCATAGACTCATAATCCACGAATCAGTTTTCATCATTGCATGGAATATTGTGTAACAGAGGTCAAAAAATCACCATCTACATCCCAAAAAATATATATATATCACCATCTCCCCAAATACTCCATGGCATTGTATTTCCCAACAGACAAATGGAAAAACACAAAGAATGCCAAAGAACAGAACTCATACAAGCAGCTTCTGCATAGAAAATTATGTGAACCTTTCAGCTTCCCCCAAAAAATCAAAAAACTAAACGTAGAAAAGATCATGCCAGCAAAATACAACATCAAATCTGAAGGGTGTATATTTTCCAAGTAAATTGGCATGTAGTGTAATTCTAAACATCAATTGGTCATAGATTGCCCATAAATCTGAGCGATCTCATTAGGCAAGGACAATAAATCTGGATGGTCCATCAAATGGCGTGTTATTGATTGTTGTTACCTCCTCTAGTTCGTAGAGTGTTGATCCTTGGCTTTAACCTCACAAAGGGGTAACAACTAGTAAGAATTATGTGCCGCATGGAAAAGATTACAAACTCAGGACCATGAATGTTTATTATAAGCATTGTCAGTCCAATATGGAGGCAAAAGCAAGCAAATGGATCATTGCTAAAGTGGGCATGTGTAGACACACCACAAATTACAAAACTGACATTCTCTATAGGTGATCTTGTGGATTTTTTTACTTTTTTTTTTTTTGGCTGGGCCAGCAAGGTTGTCGGAAAGGAGAGATTTTGTCCATCGACAAGAAATTAAAAAGATGGTTCATGGGGGACCATTTCTATGGCACACATAAGAATTCAACGTGAGTAAAGACCTTGCCATAAAGTTTGACTGAGCATGGTGTCAAAAACCATCCCTCGATTCACATGAAAAATAAGTGTGAAGGTTATTGGACCAAAGCCACAAGGTTTTGAGGATAAACCAGGTTGGCTTAAGTCTACTTATGGCTTTTCTATATCTAAAGCCAAATTTAAACTAAAAATAGAAGTATTAGAATTAGAGTAAATTGAGAACAGAAACCTCAGAGTCCCCAAATAACCTATGGCATTGTGGATAAATAGAAAAACACAGAGAATGCCAAAGAACAGAACTCATACACGAAGCATATGCCTGGCTTCTCCCCCCCCCCCCCCAAAAAAAAAACATAAAAAAAAAAAAATTTGTCAGCAAAATACAACATCAAATCTGAATGGTGTATCTTTTCCAAGTAAAGTGGCATGTAGTGTAATTCTAAACATCAATTGGTCATGGGTTGCACATAAATATGAGCGACCTCATTAGGCAAGAACAATAAATCTGGATGGTCCATCGAACGGTGTGTTATCAATTGTTGTTGCCTCCTTTAGTTCGTAAAGTGGTGATCCTTGGCCTTAACCTCACTACGGGGTAACAACTACTAAGACTTATGTCCTGCATGGACAAGCTTATGATTTGTTAGTCCAATAAAGAGGCATGACGCAAGCAAAATATTACTGCTTAAGTGGAGTCCCCCTAGGGACTTAGGAGAATAGAAACATCAGAATCGTCCTAGGGGTGATCAAAGGGTAAACTAGGTGAGTTATTTACACAAAATGTCAATTATCATTGTTGATCCTTTAATCTTACACATTCGAAAGTATTAAACATCTCTATTAGAGTTCTTACTTTATACATCAGTCACAATTAGTAGTGTAGAGTAATACTATAAGTACTCTAAATATTTCTCTACTATACATAAGAGAGTGTAGAGCAACAAACTGCTATACACAGATTATTCTCTTTCTCTCTCTCCCTCTCTCTCTTTTTTTCTTCTCTTCTCCTTCTTTCTCCCAAACCCTAATATGGTTACTATTACTGTTTTAACATGGTACCAGATCTAGGTTCGAGACCAGATATCATCGAAAAACACAGTGGCGGACTCTTGGATTTCTTTGTAATTGCTGACATCAGCATGATATTGGCAGTTTTATATCTTCAGAACCCATCTTCAAGCTGGGTTTTTGTGCTAGTAATTATGGTGATTTTTGTGTATTGTTTTGAAGTCATCTGAATAGATTTTCTATTTCTGAATGATTTTCGTGAAAATGGGGATTGATTTTGTAATATGCTGATTCTAGCCCATTTGAGTGTTTTTATGCTTGAAACCCTATACCTGAAGAGTGTAACTAAGAGACTAGAGATCGTGTATGAGTTACCCATTCAATTTTGGGTGGTTTTTGATGATTTTTTCCCCAAAAAGCAATCGGCAATGACGATTTTGGCCTATGGTCACTATTCCAACTTTGGGTTTTGCTTTTTCTACCTCCTGAGTGTGTTGTGGGCAGATTGTATTGTGAGTAGCTTGCTCATGATGTTTTAGGCAAGATCCACTTGAACAATAGCCTCTTTGAGTTGCTTTCGAGGGCAGATTTTGGTCCTTCTTTTGTTATGGTTTGTAACTGTTAATCAAGGGTGAGTTATTGGTCCCATTGTTTCTTACTGCGAGGTAGTTGAGTGTGATTTTCCTTATGGGACCTTCAAAAAAGGTAAAGGCTTCTACAGTGGACGATCAGGTTTTATCGATTCATTTTGTGGATGATCAGATTAGACAACTTTTTTCTATGAAATGAAATGGAAGCAACTATTCATCTTGGTCCCATACAATTAAAATTTTCTTGCATACTAAAAAGAAAGTCAAGAATTTAACTGAAAGTCCTCTTTCTGCAGAGTCCAAAAAATCTGAAAACCGATGGAGTAAGAATTCTTTGGTGATAACTTGGATGTGACTTAGTATGGAACCTTTTGTAGCTTTTAATATTCAAATTTTTGACATAACTAATAAAATATGGATTTCGTTGAGGAGATGCACTCACAAGAACATAATGTGTCCCGCATTTATGACCTCTTTAAGCATTTGTTTACTACCAAGCATGGTAATAAGCCCCTTGCTGAATACTATGGCTTTTTGAAAGGATCATAGAAACAACTTATGCTTTATCAACCACTAAGTAGGGACAGCGTAAGGAGTTTCAGTTGCTTTGATCTTGTCAAGCCTTAACCCTGGGTTTGGTGTGTTTGAAGATCAAATTTTGCCTAGTGCAACCCTTTTACATAGCTAGAAATGCCTACTATAGCCTTCAGAGTGCTTCTCTTACTCATAGGACTTCTTCATTTCTTCAATATTCCTCTATCTAGTGATGGTAGACTTGGTGTTTCTCATGGTGGACGTAATGATGGTCGTGGTGGTGGTCAACATCCAATCCAAAGTGGTAGTCACGGTGGAAGAGGTATTGGTCATGGAGGAAGTGGTAGTCATAGTGGTCAAGGAAATCATTTTGACTAGAAATGTTCTTATTATAGGCCACAACATATAGAGGATTATTGTTCGAATAAGCATGGGAGACCAGCCTATGATAATTAAATTTTTTATCAATTGACCCGATGTGTATCTCAGCCATCTACTACTAGGCATCTTGCATCTACATTTGGCTCTCATGACAACCTTACTTCTCAGCTCATCTAGCAATTGTCCTCACTCTCCACCCATTTATCTACTTCTACTGTCAGTCTAGCTATTGCAGATAATTCTGCACATGTGACAGTCCAATCAACCTCACTATCTTGGATTATTTATTCGAGAGCAAATGCGCACATGTCTGGTATTTCCTCATTAATTTATAATTGTGTTGCTCTAATTCTCGTATTATGTTAGTTGATGGTTCTTTTTTACCAATGCATGGGACTAGTAATCTCCTTCCTACCCAGTTCATGCCCTTATTTGTTCCTCATTTCCTTTTAATTTGTTATCTGTGAGTCAGTTCACCAAGTATCTTTCAGGACCTCTAGAAGTGGTGGTCTGAATTACCTAAGATTTTTCTCATATTCTCTAATGAAGTTTGGGTACTATTTGACAAACATATTGAAGTGTCTCATTCTGATATTGCTCGAGTAAGTCCAATCATTTATGAACGCATTTTGTGCTAACCATGGTATTATATACCCAACTACATGTTCACATACATCCCAACAAAATGGTATTGTCTCATCTTAGCTAACAAATCTCCCTAATATATCGCCCTTTAATCTAATTCCTCATGCCTTTGGTTATATTACCTTTGTTCACCATCTTGATCCGGGT